TAGTAGAGACGGGGTTTCACTATATTAGCCAGGATGGTCTCAATCTCCTGACCTCGTGATCCTCCCGTCTCAGCCTCCCAAAGTGCTGGGATTATAGGCTTGAGCCACCGTGCCCGGCCTATGTATTTGTTAAACCATTTGAGAATTGCAGACATCATGCCCTTTTACTCCTAAATACTTTTAAGTGTACATTTCCTGAGAACAAGGACATTCTCATAACCACAATACAGTTATCAAAAGCAGAAAACATTAATATAATGTAGAGTCCACGTTCAAATTTTACATAATTTCACCGAGAATAACAGTCCTTGCAGCATTTTTGTTTTTTCCCAATCTGGGATTCAATTCAGAATAGTGCATTGCCTTTAGTTGTTGGGTCTCTCTTTTGTTTTATTTTATTTTTTATTTTATTTTTTTGAGATGGAGTCTCGCTCTTTTGCCCAGGCTGGAGTGCAGTGGCGCGATCTCGGCTCACTGCAAGCTGCGTCTCCCGGGTTCACACCATTCTCCTGCCTTGGCCTCCTGAGTAGCTGGGACTACAGGCACCCACCACCACGCCCGGCTAATTTTTTGTATTTTTAGTAGAGACGGGGTTTCACCGTGTTAGCCAGGATAGTCTCGATCTCCTGACCTCGTGATCCGCCAGCCTCAGCCTCCAAAGTGCTGGGATTACAGGCAGGAGCCACCGCGCCCAGCCAGTTGTTGGGTCTCGAGTCACCTTTCATCTCTAACAGTTCCTTAGCCTTTCTTTGGTTTACATGGCATTTTATTTTGGCCAGGTGTGGTGACTCACACCTGTAATCCCAGCACTTTGGGAAGCTAAGGCGGGCGGAAAGCACTTGAGGCCAAGGAGTTTGAGACCAGCGTGGCCAACATGGAGAAACCCTGTCTCTACTAAAAATACAAAAGTTAGCTGGGTGTGGTGACGGGCGCCTATAATCCCAGCTACTGAGGAGGCTGAAGCATGAGAATCATCAGAATCTGGGAAGTTGCAGTGAGCAACCAGTGGAGGTTGCAGTGAGCCAAGATTGAGCTACTGCACTCTAGCCCGTGTGACAGAGACTCAAAAAAAAAAAAAAAAGTTATTTTGTAGAATATCCCGTAATTTGGGTTTGTCTGTTTCCTTATGATTAGATTCAGATGTATTTTTTTTGGCAGTAATACTACTGAAGCAATGTGCCCTCCATGTATTGGATCAGAGTGGCCCCATCGCTGATGGTGGTAACTCTTTTTTTTTTTGAGATGGAGTCTTACTCTTTCGCATAGGCTGGAGCGTAATGGCACAAAATCTCAACTCACTGCAACCTCCACCTCCTGGGTTCAAGCAATTCTTGTGCCTCAGTCTCCCAAGTAGCTGGGATTACAGACGTAAGCCATTGTGCCCGGCCTATTTTTTCATTCTATAAAAATTGGCATCATACTATGCACCTTTTCTGCATCTTTTTTTTTTTTTTTTTTTTTTGAGACAAGGTCTCATTCTGCCACCTAGGCCCCAGAGTGCAGTGTTGTGATTACAGTCCACTGCAGCCTCGAACTCCTGGATGCAGGTAATCCTCCCACCTCACTGTCTTGGGTAGCTGGGACTACAGGTGAGTGCCACCGTACCCAGCTAATTTTTTGTAGGTTTTGTACAGATGGGGTTTCACCATGTTGCCCATGCTGGTCCCAAACTCCTGGACTCAAGCGATCTTCCTGCCTTGGCCTCCCAAAGCGTTGGCATAGATGTGAGCCACTGTGCCTGGCCTGCATCTTGCTTTTCTTATTAGTACTTCATGGAAATCTCTCTTAGCTGCTGGAGGTCAGATTCATCCTTCTGATGTTTGGGTGATGTCCTAGGTGCAGGTGCACTGATTCATTCACTTCTCTATAATGGTTCACTTTTGGTTTTTGCTCCTATGAATGATGCTGCAGCTATCACTCTTCAACAGTGGCCTTTCACAAAGGAGTCATTTAAATTACTACCCACCATCCTACCCACTCCACTGAAACACATTTTATTTTATTTTTTTGAGACGGAGTTGTGTTCTTGTTGCCCAGGCTGGAGTGCAATGGTGCGATCTCACCGCAACCTCCGCCTCCTGGTTCAAGCGGTTCTCCTGCCTCAGCCTCCCAAGTAGCTGGGATTACAGGCATCCACCACCACACTCAGCTAATTTTTGTATTTTTAGTAGAGACGGGGTTTCTCCATGTTGGTCAGGCTGGTTCTTGAACTCTCAATCTCAGGTGATCTGCCCACCTCAGCCTCCCAAAGTGTTAGGATTACAGGTATGAGCCACTGCGCCCAGCCATTGAAACACATTTTAAAGATTGCCATGAGCCTGGTGTGGTGGCACGTGCCTGTTGTCTCAGCTACTTGGGAGGCTGAGGTGGGAGGATCAGCTGAGCCCAGGAGTGGAAAACCAGCTTGGGCAACATAGCAAGACCCCATCTCAAAAGATTGCCATGAACCCTTTTTTAATTAAAATAAAAATCAGAATTGCATGATTTAGGCTATAAACATCTTCCATAATCTCACCTGCCAGAGATGACTGCCATTAATTTTGGAGTATATGTCTCTAGACTCTTTTTTTAATGCATGTGTCAACATGTACATGCATATATTCTTAACAGAAATGGACTTTACATACACTTCAGCTTTTTCACTGGTAACCTCTTAATTGCCTTTTTCAATGGCCATTTCTTTCCCTTATCACCTTAGCTCACTTTGTAGCATCCCATGCTCCTAGCTGTCTTGTGTGTTTCTCCCTCTTTCTGTAGCCACTCCTCAAGTTTCAGTCCCCAGATTTCCAGGTATTCGTTTTTATTATTTCTTTTTCTTTTTTTTTTTTGAGACAGGGTCTCACTCTGTCGTCTAGGCTGGAGTGTAGTGGTACGATCTCAGCTCTCTGCAGCCTCAACCTCCTGGGCTCAAGCAGTTCTCCCACCTTAGCCTCCTGAGTAGCTGGGCATGTAGGTGTGTGCCACCACACCTGGCTAATTTTGGATTTTTTGTAGAAATGGGGTCTCAAGTGTTGCCCAGTCTGGTCTCAAACTCCTGGATGCAAGTGATCCTCCTGCCTTGGCCTGTTTTTTAATTCCTAACTGGACAGCCTAGTATCACATGCATTAAACCACTTTCCCTCCTTGCTCCTTTTTCTGGAAGTGGTTCTGGCATTTCTGTTAACTTGGTTCTTGGCTTCCAAATCTCCCTTCTTTAGGCTGTCCTCTCTCCTTTGGTCCTTAGGTGTGAGCTGTTGCCAAGACACTGCTAGATTAGAGCATTCTTGGGTACCGTTCAGTCTTCTCCCTCCAGCTTGTGCTGATGAATTTTATTTTTTTGAGACAGAGTCTTACTCTCGTCGCCCATGCTGGAGTACAATGGCTTGATCTTGGCTCGCTGCAACCTCTGCCTCCCAGGTTCAAGCAATCCTCCTGCCTCAGCCTCCCAAGTAGCTGGGATTACAGGAACCTGCCACCACACCTGGCTAATTTTTTGTATTTTTAGTAGAGACAGGGTTTCACCATGTTGGACAGGCTGGTCTCATTTGAACTCCTGACCTCAGGTGATCCTTCTGCCTTGGCCTCCCAAAGTGCTGGGATTACAGCTGTGAGTCACTGCACCTGGCTGCTGGTGAACTTTCATAGTTGCCCTTCATTTTATTCAGACTGGCCAGGTATTCAAGATTCTACTTTCTGCTGCCATTTTTTTTTTTTCTTCTCTCCCATGATTTCTCCCTCCCTCCCCCCAGGGCCCTTCAGGTCAAGCCAAGCTGGCTCACTTGGTCTGTCTCCTGTGCATGTCCTGGGCTTAACTATTTCTTGGCTGTCCCCCTGCCATCCTAGAGTGCCTTCTGGACTCTTGCCTGGTGGGACTTGCTGACAAGGTGGATTGGTGCTCCAATGACCCTAACAAAACTCTGTCATCTGTCTCATATGGAGGCCTTGCTGACCCAATAGAAACGTTCCCTTTATATTCCTAGAGCAGAGCTCTGTTGTGTCTGCTCTCCCGAAGTCCTGACTTGCAAGGCACTGGAAGGCGGGTGGGGAGGGTATATGCAGCGGAAATGAGGGGCCCTCATTTTTCTAATCTGTTTATTGTACTTGTACTACCACATGGCCTCCTAAGATCCTTCTACTTCTGTAGAAAGTGTGATCCCCTTTAGAAGGCCTCTGGCATTAAGTCAGGAGTAAAGAAACTTGTGAAACCCCATGGCTTCTGCAGGACAACTCCTCTCTGTCAGGGGAAGAAAGGCTCAGATGCAAGCTTGGCAAAAGCTTTTTGCTGGAGAAATCTCTGGGAAAAGGGATGCTCATCAAATGCTTGCTGGGAGTGTCCATGGGCAAGGGGCAGCCACCCTCTCCCTTGACCTTGACTTCTTTTCCACCTTTTTGTGACCTGGCTAAGTCAACCTTCCACGAGGTCCTTACAACGACTGGAGTTAAGTTGACTATGATTCCCTATTCTAGGTCAAGACTAATGTCTTCTGAAGACTTAGCAGAGATCCCTCAACTCCAGAAGGTAAGACAATTATCTGAACTAATAAAGGGTGGGGCATTCCAGAGTTACCCAAAACCTCACTTACCAGCATGGAAGTACAATGGTTTCTGCATCGGGGAGGGGGTTGCATACTCAGACATTTACCGGGCAGGTAACTTAAGTGTACTTTTTTTGTTGTTTTTTTGAGACAGAGTCTTGCTCTGTCGCCCAGGCTAGAGTGCAGTTACACCATCTCGGCTCACTGCAACCTCCGCTTCCCGGGTTCAAGCAATTCTCCTGCCTCAGCCTCCTGAGTAGCTAGGATTACAGGTGTAATTTTTGTATTTTTAGCAGAGACAGGGTTTCACGATGTTGGCCAGGCTGGTCTTGAACTCCTGACCTCATGAACCGCCTGCCTCGGCCTTCCAAAGTGCTGGGATTACAGGCATGAGCCACTACACCTGACCTAAATGTACTTTTAAAGGGCTGCCTGAAACTGGGTATGGTGGCTAACACCTGTAATCCCAGTACTTTGTGGGCTGAAAGGAGGATCGCTGAGCCCAGGAGTTTAGACCTGCCTGGGCAACATAGTAAAACCCCCATCTCTACAAAAAGTAAAAAATAAATTAGTTGGGCATAGTGGCACATGCCTGTGGTCCCAGCTACTCCAGAGGCTGAGGTGGGAGGATTGCTTGAGCCTGGGAGGTCAAGGCTGCAGTCAGTTATGATCTCGCCATTGCACTTATGCTGGGCAACAAAGTGAGACCCTGTCTCTAAAAAAGCAAAACAAAAAAGCTACATGAGTCAAATGCAACACACCCGAGCCCCCTGATGTACGGTCTGTACATGGACTCCACTTCTCTACTTAATTTTGTCCAGCAGGTTGTGATAATGGTGGGATGGGCTGTAAGAGTTTTTATCAAGCCAGGTTTGTATTGTCTGTTATGTGCTTGGAGCTGGGGAATATAGAGATAATTAATACAAATTAGATTAAGATTAAGTTAAACATGCCCTTGCCTTTGAAGAGCTCACTATGAGACAAGGAGTAATAACAAGAGCTGTCATTTATTGTGTAATTACAGTTTACTAGGGCTTCACATGTATTCAGGTGTCATTTAGGTCTCAACCACAACCCTGCAAGGTAGGGACTGTGGCTCTCTGTTTTGCAGATGAGGAAACCTGTGGCTCAGAGAATGATGTGATATGCCTAAGTTAAAATAGCCTGTAAGTGGGGGAGCCAGACAGAATTCCAACCCAGAGCTCTGGGGCTCTGTAGCCATGTGCTTCCCCTCGTGACTTGCTGCCTACATGTATGGACAGACATGCACACTTACTATGCCTTGAGGGGCAGATATGAACAAAGACTTGGGAATATGGAGGTGGCAGTGATGACCGTCATCTGAAAGTTATGGAAGAGCTCCTAGGGGGGAGGTTCTATTTGAGCGAGAGTCTGAAGAGTGGGTAGGGGTTCACCTCTGAGGGAGACGGGCTGGATTGTATATGGGAGACAATGTGAGTAAGCACGGAATGCTTGCTGGGCTTGGGGATGGTGGGAGCAGGTGGTGTGCCTGGAACATGGTGCATGCTTGAAACTAGAAAGATAGGTCAGAGCTGGTTAGGAAGTGTTTTGAATGCTACACTCAGGAGTTGGGGTGAAGAGTATCAGAGTCACAGTAAAATCATTGATCAGATTTGCTGCCTAGAAGCCAGGTGTGGTGGCCCATGCCTGTAATCCCAGCACTTCGGGAGGCTGAGGCAGGAGGATCACCTGAGGTCAGGAGTTCGAGGCCAGCCTGGTCAACATGGCAAAACCCTGACTCTACTAAAAATACAAGAAATTAGCTGGGTGTGGTGGCTCATGCCTGTAGTCCCAGCTACTTGAGAGACTGAGACAGGAGAATCGCTTGAACCCAGGAGGCAGAGGTTGCAGTGAGCCGAGATCACGCCACACTCTAGCTGGGTGACAGAGTGAGACTCTGTTTTAAAAAAAAAAAACAAAAAAACTTGCTGCCTAGAAAGATGACTGGTGCCAGTGTTGGGAGGTGGATGGGAAGAGAAGGCCGAACTCTGGTCTCAGTTAGTGGTGGTCATTGTACTTGTCCCAGCAAAAGACTAGAGTTCGAGGCGAGCAGGGGTGTGGGAGAGGAAGCTTATATGTAGGTGATGGATCCCAGGAATAATTAACTGGAGGGACAGTAGAATGCATAGGAGGAAGAGGGAAGAGCTGAAGGTGGTACTGAGATTTCTAATTTGGGACCTGGGTGGGTGGTGAGAGCTTTCATGTGCTCCTGTGTTGGGCTCAATGGAGGCAGGGACCCTCACTGTGTTCACAGTGTATCCACAGTGCCTGGCACTCAGTCAATGTGTGTAGACCCTTGGCAAATGAATGAAAGGTCACAGGAGGATGAGCACATTTGCTCTTTAGTTGGGGCTAAGGTGGGGAGAGTGAGCAATTCAATCTCTTGTCTCTTGTCTTTTTGAACTAAAGTCTTCTCAACTTTCCAAGGCCCAAAGCAATGTGTCTCAGTGAGTAGCACTGCCTGCCTGCCACTCAGGCCATCTAATTGTCCACGTTTGGAGTCTTAGGGGAGGCAGCCTTTGATGGCCTGAGCTTTGGTGACCTGACACATTATGCTAAGTATCTGTATGAGTCTCACAGAGGGGTGATGAGAGGAAGCATCATGAGGCCTAGAGGAGTGGGGAAGGCTTTTGGGGGGGGGTCTGAGAAGGATGAGTAGAAGGGGGAAGTGAGGGAGAACCCCCAGTGGAGGGGTCTGTTTGAGCATTGGTGTGTTGGTAGCAAGGCCAGGGGTGGGGCAGGTGAGCTTATCTGACCCAGATGGGACATCTGGACTGGTCAGGACCAGGTCAAATTAAGGAAGATGGAGCTGGATTCCTTGGGGTCTTTTTTTTTTTGAGAAGGAGTCTTGCTCCGTTGCCCAGGCTGGAATGCAGTGGCACAATCTCAGCTCACTGCAACCTCCACCTCCTGGGTTCAAGTGATTCTCCTGCCTCAGCCTCCTGAGTAGCGGGGACTACAGGCACATGCCACCACACCTGGCTAATGTTTTTGTATTTTTAGTAGAGATGGGTTTCTACCATGTTGGTCAGGCTGGTCTCAAACTCCTGACCTCAAATGATCCGCCCTCCTCGGCTTCCCAAAGTGCTGGGATTACAGGCATGAGCCACTGCGCCCAGCCCCCTGGGGTCCTCAATTCTGACCACTGAAGATTTGAAATGATATAGTTACTGAACTGAGGTCCCTTATAAATGAACATCCCGTTATGAGTAAAGTAGGACTTGGCTGTATCCTCCTTGAGCCTCAGGTGTGGCATCTGTAAAAGGGGAGCAATGGTTCCCTCTCCAAAGTCAGGAGAGTCTAGATTTTTCTTTATCTTCTTAGGTCTAAAAATGGTTAAGAATTATGTGTTTCTCCATGGAATACTATGCAGCCATAAAAAAGGATGAGTTCATATCCTTTGTAGGGACATGGATGAAGCTGGAAACCATCATTCTGAGCAAACTATCACAAGGACAGAAAACCAAACACCGCATGTTCTCACTCATAGGTGGGAATTGAACAATGAGAACACTTGGACACAGGGTGGGGAACATCACACACCAGGGCCTGTCGTGAGGTGGGGGGAGGAGGGAGGGATAGCATTAGGATATATACCTAATCTAAATGATGAGTTAATGGGTGCAGCACACCAACATGGCACATGTATACCTATATAACAAACCTGCACGTTGTGCACATGTACCCTAGAACTTAAAGTATAATAATAATAAAAAAGAATTATGTGTTTCTGTCAGTAACATCATAACACTACTTACCTTGTTCTTTCTCAAAGAGTCTCTCTTTAAATCATGTGCTGAAAATGTTTGGCTCAGGAAATTGAAACACTCAGTCCCTGGTTCTTGTTATATTCGTTCCAGCTGTCTGTCCCACATGGCTTCCAGAACAAGGAGGCTGTTAGCTCCCCAACACCATCCATCACCCTTAGCCAGGTGCCCGACCTCCAGCCTGGGTCCCAGCTGTTTACTGAGATACACCTGGCCAAGATAGAGAAAATGTTTGAGGAGGACATCAACTCGACTGGAGGTAAGGCCTCTCTGTAGGCTCGGTTTTTGTGTGAGTTCTGCAACAGGGCAGGACCCAGTACCTGGGGTGTGTGGAGGGTTCAGACATGATAAGCATTTTGTTTTTGTTTTTGAGATAGGATATTGCTCTGTCGCCCAGGCTGGAGTGCAGTGTTATGATCACCACAGCAGCCTCCACCTCCCATGCTCAAGCGATTCTTCCGTCTCAGGTCCCAGAGTAGCTGGGACTACAGGCACATGCCACC